GTTTCGATACGCAAATTCGCTTTTGGTCCTTAATCTGAAACAATCTATTTATTGAATTCACATCAAACAGCATATATTTCAACTGAATCACCGGAATAATTAAATTATACTACTACAATTCTATATAGTACAAATCCAGATATATTGTACATTTTTATTTAAGGATTATAGTAATTAATAAAAGCTTTTATGCAATACAATAATTTTGAAGATAATTGCCTATGTATAAAACTTAGTGTAAAATCCTTTGGTTTATTAATACATCTGTAAATAAATTTTAAAATATTATATTTTTAATTTTTTTTTGTTATAATTTATTTTTCTTAATCAAGACTTTAATTTTAGAATATTAATGATTAATGATATGAATTAACAAAATATTTATCAATTACTCAATATATTGACTTTAATTTAATTTAAAACCATGCTAAAGTAATTACGACGTTGATTTCGGTCGCTTATTATTTGTGTCTTAGTAAAATATTTACAAATAGCATTTGAATTATATTTAAACATTTAAGTAATAAATAACACATAATCAATAATGTGCGTCATTAGTAGAACTAATTTATAAAGAATGCAATGTAAATCCTGTTTTGGATTAGTTCATTTATTTGTTTATTGATATTAAAAAATAGTTCATATTTTAGCAAGAAGATTTGATTTGCTTACATTGATTTTTGAATCATTCGATACAAAAATTGAAAAGTTTTGTGTGTAGCAAAATATTACATCTTGTCTACATTTTTTCTAAAAATGTCTGCAAAAATTGGGATTTAAATTCTATTCTAAAAGGAACATGATAAATTTTATATTTTTTGCAATATTAATTAAAACCGTATATATGCCTACTCTATCAAAATCTATGAAGCATTATATCATATTGCGCAGAATAAATTAAATTAAATGTATTAACAATTATTATTATTAACGAATAATTAAACGAGTTACTATTTTTCACCGAATTAAGTAAAAATAATTCCATAACTGTAGTTCATTATTTCACAATTAATAAATTTCTATAAAAAGTGCAACTTTACAAACTTACCACTGATTTGAGTCTAGTTGTAATAATTCATTCTTTACCAATTTTGGGAAATTTGAGTTTTTTCTAAGTAATTTTTGTCATACATCACTGAAAGTTATAATTACGATAATACAAATTAAATATGTGATGTCTCTTATAAATAAATAGTATAAAATAACTTTTTACCACGAATCAACGTAAACTACATTCCATATTTTATCTAATCTTCTTCTTCACTTAAGTCTGTATATAATTATTGTATGTTACAACTTGCCCCAAGGTTTTTTTTAACTACTTTAATGCCAGGTGTGATATTTTCGCGTTATTCAAGATGACAATTCAAATAATTTAGCAATCTCAAAAAATGCAGCACGTTATCAAACATTCAATAAATGAGAAAACTTTAATGCCAGGTGTGATATTTTCGCGTTATTCAAGATGACAATTCAAATAATTTAGCAATCTCAAAAAACGCAGCACGTTATCAAACATTCAAAAAATGAAAAAATGAAAAAAAATGAGATATGTAAAATTTAACCCTTTGGACTCGAATGCCGCCGATTAATAATAACGCAAACCGGAATTTTATGATAGATCAATTTTGTTGCCTGTCAAAAATGACGTACCTGCACAGTTCTGTTTATTCCGTTCGCCTGCAGGACAGTAGCTGACACTAAGGTGCAGGATGGTACAATTGAGCCAAAAATTATTTTAATATTATTTAAGATCCTATTAAAAATCGCCATTTACCTCTATTACCTATAGCCCCTAGCACTTCTATATATGTATGTTTATTATTTCTTTCCCATTGATCGTCAAATATATTTTTCAAGAGATGGCTTTTGTTTTATCATTTTCGATATTATGACACTGCAACAATATTAGTGAAAGGCATCCCATGTAATTTGGAAGTGTGGTGATGATATTAAACTCTGGTCTAGAGATTCATTTCGCAAGCGTTAAAATATACAGCTCCGATTTACACACTTCCTGCTCGTGCTGGATTACGACAATTAAGACGACTGTAACGGATATTTGATCAAAAATCGGCAAAAATATTATGAAATTTTTTGTTGCCGGCTGTTTATTTCATTCATATAACATTTAACGGAACTGCGTTATACAATATGGGCAGTGCGTGGTGCAAGTGGAAAAACTTGCACTCAGTCCTTGCAACCTCAGGAATTCGAGGTGGATTTGTATTTGGAACTAGTGGTACATGGCATCAAGCCTTAAGGCAAATTGCTCGAACTTTGCGTAACATAATTAAATATTCGAGTAGAAAACGATAAATGTTGATCAATGTATAATAAAAATTCTTTTTAAATATCTTCCCAAAAATTTAACCAATTATTCATTTTGTCAATACAAATAAAATGTTTTTTTAACAATTCAAATCAGGCGCTCTGTTACTTCAAAAACATAATTACGAATTTTGGCACTTCGCCGAAAACTAATCAGCACGTCTCCCCATTACGAATCTTTTTTGAATCATTCAAATGATCCATACGCCTAAAATCGTGGACGAAAAATTGTCTCTAAACATAAATACATACACACACATACATCATTTTTTTCTTAGATATGCCAAAATGTTCAGAAACCTTTGAAACGTCAAGATATGTAAAAAAAATTATTTTCGATTTTTTTGCGATTACTATAACTTACCCTACGATAAGTTAAAGATAGATTAAAATATATTTCCAAGAAAAAATATAAAGATCGCCGTGGTGAAAATTAAGGACGTGGGCTAGAATAAATAATCCTCAGTCTCGGATTCGATTCCAACATGGGTCAACTCGATATCAGGCACTATGAGAACAAATTTGCATTTTATAGATTATAGATCTAAAATAAAATTTCATGCGACAACTCTTTTATAGGATTAACTCATATAAAAATATGAAGTCAAAAAATAAGTATAGTCATATATCATAACTATAATCGAATAATTACTGGGTTTCCTTTCAAAAACAACATACAATAAGATGACAAAACAACAACTGAATATTATTTGCAAAATAAAACATCGATACTAATTAACCAAGTGCCCAATTGAAATGGTTAAAATGTAAAAAATAATAATTGTCTTACAACTGGAAGATTTTATTTTTGGTATTTAATGCATTGCCCTGTAGGTTTTGAGTTTTTAGTCATAATTTGCTATTATTGTAAAATAATGGTTTAAAATTAAATTCACGTCCCAAAAAAGTTAATTGCTGGACAAAGACATTTGATGTCTCTGTAACAGTCATGGAACCAATATTGCAAAATTTTGATCCAAACCCATTAAGCGTTTAAGAGCAACTGGTCTTGATTCATAGGTCCCGGGTTCGAGAGCCACTTCGAGCTGCCTGTTATAAGGCAGCAGTGGCAACGATTTTCACTTGGAAATATAGATAGCAATATATTTCCAAGTTAAAATAGCCCTTAATCCGGCATTGCTGCACCAATATAAAAAGTCAGCCCTTTTAGATCAATTCTAATAATAAAAGTCATCAAATATGGATTACCATCTAAAAATACGAAGTGAGGAAAATTTTCAGCCCAACAGATAAAAGAAACTATTTATTTGTCGAAGATGCTAAATGACCTTTGTTTGATAGTACTTGATTCCTAACCATGTCTAATTATGTTCCATGATAGTTGTTACGACTTATTCTATAGCAATCAGAACGATACCAAACTATTAGTTTCATATTTGATACATTAATGAATTTAATTAAATTATAATAATGTTGAATTCTGTTTGTTATAATCGTTATATATAATTATATGTTTGTACGAAGCATTATAAATTATGTTTATAAATAACTTGTGTATTAATCTACATCCTAAATTATTACATCGTATTAGTTAATTAATGTTTTGATTAGATTCTTAAAATTGATTAATTATATAATCATTATATACGATTGGCATAAGTGCTAATGGCATATTGATGTGATTATGAAGATATTTCATTCGGGGTAAATTTTAAATATTTTAATAATAAGGCTGATAATAAGATTTATATTTTTAACATCTGGTTTGTTGAGACAGCATGCATTTAAATTATTAAATTATTTTCTTGTAGAAGATTCAGAAATATTGAAGTATGTCAAGATATAACGAGTGACATAATGAACAAGTTTATATTAAATTGAGTGTTTTTGGAGATACTGTAATATTTGCTCAACTTTTTAATTATACATGGAATATAATAGCTTTATCAATTATCTAAAATAATCTGCATCTTGTAGTAATTGTTTTTCTTTTTACACATCAACGCAATGGGATTAAAAATTATTCAACTAACCCTTTATGAGCCGAATATTGATAACAAAATTAAGGTAGCAAGAAATCAGTAATTATAAGCCTTTATATACATATGAAAAACAAAAAATCTGTTTAAACCATTTTTTCGGTATTAATGAATTATGTGACTTTGGGGTCATAAAGGCCTATAATATTCGCACTTCTCTGTATGAAAATGTTCAGGTTAAAAAGCCTTGCAAAGGTCATAAATATTAATAACATTATAGAATTAAGATTTATGTGTCATTTTATAAAAAGTAAGAATTATTTGATAAAATTTTGAAAAATTTGAAATGTAACCTGAAAGATACGAGTGCCCCGGGGGGGTTAATATACAAAATTAAGTACTGACTATAAATTAAATTGTGGCCATAAGCTAAGTTTAAGAAAATCGAATCGCGCGTAGAACAATTTAAATCCTAATAACATTTCTCAGCACAATGGTTTTCTAAATTTCACAAACTTTTAACATATTAATCTATAAATCCATTACTACATAACAAGCAAAGTACAGATAAACTCAACGCGTATGCATTCAAGTAAGTGTACAAATTTAGGAGAAATTGCTCTTGCATCATTCTGTCCGCGGTATTTCTTTTTACGAAACGCCTCATTACATAATATTACATAGCGCTGAAAAAAAATTGTGTTTATAAAAAATATATAGTAGACTCACATTGCGCGGTTCTTTACTTTCTTCTTTTTCACTAGAATTACAATACGACACGCAGCTCGATGCCACCTGATTAAGTCTTCAGATTTCTGTGTCCCACTTTTTTACAGCGGTAATACTTAGTTTTTTGTAAAATATTTTTTGGATTATTTATTGTCACAAATCACAACACTTTTTGAAGGTAATGTAAAATTTTGATTTATGTTCAACACTTGAGTCACACCAATGGGGTAATTATTTGAAAACACTTGTACTAAAAATTTTGAGGAAAATATATTTTTTTGGATTTTAAAAAAACTTGTTAATTTATTATTTGGCACCTGAGAAAATAAAATAATTAGTGAGGAATAATAACATTTTTTTGGAATTTTTATCAAACTTGAAAATTTTGAACTACATGTGTGTGAGAAAATTTTGTTTAATGTAATGGAATTGACATAATTGGATGACAATTGTAATATATTTTATTTTAAAATATGACTAAAATAGTAAAAAATTGCAAAATGTAGATAGCAAGAATCTTTTCAATATAAAGCACCAATATTGGTGTTTATTTTAAAAATAACAATATTTAAAAAAAAATATATATATATTGAAATTTTACACAAAATGCATTTAAATTAAAATTTTTCCGAATAAAATTTATTTTATTATAAAAATTTTATATTATCGATTTTCTCTATTTATTGACTTGTGTCAATACCTTTCGAGCACATATCACTTTGGATATCCGATACTGACTGAGTACTGAAGAAGTTGAAGACCATGTCTTAACACGGTTCTTCGAGACAACAATGTTTATTTTAGAGAGGGACGCATTACGCGAGAGAAAGAGAGGCGAACACCCGGACTAAATAACGGAACGTAGTCGAATGCGTAGAACCGATACACGTCTGCTACTTCTGATTTTTAACTTTTACCTTTTACCGAAATCGGAAGTAACGTCAGAACGGTGGAGGATCCCGGCAAGAAAGAATCGAATTCGATTTAGGTCAACATCGATTGATATATTTATTATTTTTTCAAATGTTATAATTTATTAACTTCCCGTAGGGCAAGTTATAGTAATCGCAAAAAAATCGAAAATGAAAATTTGTATATATCTTTACGTTTCAGAGGTTTCTGAACATTTTGGCATACCTTAGAAAAAATTGATGTATGTGTGTGTGTGTATGTTTGTGCGGATACAAATTTTCGTCGACTATTTCCGGAACACGGATCAACCGATTTGAATAATTCAAAAAGTATTCGATTCGTATTGATAAGGAGACGTGCTGATTAGTTTTTGGCGAAGGCAGGTCCAGCCGTTTTGGAGATACGGAGCAAAGAGTGCAGAAAATAGAAATCGAGTTTTTGAGAGAACGGAGCATCCAATTTGAATGATCTAAAAAATATTCAATTAGTAATGATTGATAGAAGTGGTTGTTAGTTTTTGGCAAAGGCAGTCCCACCCATTTCGAAGATACAAAGCTAAATGTGTAAAAAATGGCAGTTTTTGAGAGTACTAAGCGCCCGATTTGAATGATTCAAAAAACTTTCTGCTTGTCTTAACAAAATAATTGATTTTGGAAAAATAAAATTTTTGTTTCAACTTTTTTTTTCAAATAAAAAATGTATTTCGAAATTAATTCAGATTTTATTCTTAATTCTGACTATAGTTCTAATATACTTTAAACAAATAATTTCAATTTTGCAATTCAGTTTATATAATTCTTATAAATATCAGACAATGTTACAATATTTATTTATAATAATCTATTTGAAAACATTCAAAATTCCTCGAACATTTCGTTTCGGTACGGAAAGTTCCAGCAATTTGCCTTGAGGCTCAATGCCATACACCCCACAAGTTTTATTTTGTTTTTTAACAAACCCACGCTGTCGATACTACAAAATGTACCAAATATATAATTCTAGTATACCAGTAATAAAAACACCAATATATACCAATAATAAAAATTGGACGACAAATTAATATTAATATGGAAGTGCCGAGCTTGAAGTTCTGCGGGTAAAAAGGTCTACCACCTATATATGTAAAGTTAAAATTTTTTAACGGCAATATTTGAAAGTAGAGGGCAAAACATGTGCAACCAGCCCTAAATCAAGCAACGTAGCTATCAGGAGATTAACGGTAATGTTTGAAAATCTATAACAAAAGTATTCTTTTTTGTTGTTAACTCTTTAAGTAGTGAGCACTGTTATTTAGTGTACGAGACGTTAATATAATTTTTAAGCATATGTAATTTATTTGTTTTATAAGATGTTTTATCATTTTGAACTTAAATTCAACAGATGTTTAAATAGTCTCTATAATAGCTTATATGTGGGTGGGGTAAAAAAAAAAAAAAATAAATCTTTACCCTGGCACACGTGTAAACAATGAAAATAAACTAAACAGCTTTTATTAGAGGTACATTGAATTAATAGTTATTCTAACTCTGCTGTTAAATCTTTTTCGCGAAATACCAGATCAAGGTTATGTACACTGATATCTTTGTAAAAAAGTGTGCCTATGAAGATTATTTTTTGCATTGGTTTACTCTTGTAGACATTATTTCGCAAATTTCCTTTAAAATTAAAAATAATATATTGGATCTGTTTGGCCCCAGGCATCTGACTGTCCCATTTTAAACCGTCTATGGGGTAAAAACGAGACAGATGACAAATTTTAGAAAAATAATAGAAAAACATATTTCTATCATTTGAATTAACTATGAATTTTACTGAACATAGTTCGATAGTTATTTGTTTGATACGTGCTATTTTTGTGATACATTTTTTTAATAAATTAAACTTATTAATTGACAATGGGTAGAGCGGGGCACAAAGGTTCAATTTGGCTTTAAGTTATTATACTATAATGTCTATAAGTTCATTTGGTTTAGACAATATAATTAAAGTTAAATTTAACCTTTGTACCTCGCTCTACCCATTGTCAATTTTTAATTTTAATTTATTAAAAAAATGCATTTATTTTCAAAAAAAATTATAAAATGATTACCATTTAGTATTGTCTTTCTTCAGTCTTGTTTATATTCTCTGTTTGTAATCCTTTGAATATACCGTATACTTTGGTTTTATATTACTAAAGTACACAATTGCTTGGCAGAGTTTCCATCATGATCGACGCACGTCCATCCAACGTTCATGGATGCAAATGTAAATATTTTAAATTCCTTTAAATGACCATAATTTTTAAACTAGGTTTAAGTGGCACTTTATCTTAAAGAAAATTGCATATTTTATTCAAATGAATTGATGAGTTCTTGAAAATTAAACCACTGGTCGTAGGGCCAGTTTTATAAAAATCGTTGAATTTTTTTTCAAGAATTAATTATCAAGAAACGACCTGATCGATGTTTATGCCAATTTTGAAGAAACGTGTGGCAGATCGTTTCGTAAAATAGTTTCGGCCATTTTTGCAAAAACGTCGAACATTTTTTTTATGAATTTTTAAAACCAAGCCACATGTCGTAAGGTTCTTAATATTTTAGTATGTATTGTATAACATATCGAATGCAAAATTTTTGAAATCGGTGCAGCCGTTTTTGGGAAAATGTCGACCCATGATCAAAAATCGACTCAAAAACTTTCAAAGTTGAGAAAAAGTTATGATTATATCGGATTTTTTGGGAAGTTGATAATTTTTGAAAGAACCATAATGATATAAATATGGAGTTAAAAGTGATAAACACGAATACACCTACCATAAATGAAGTAATAACAAAAACAGCACATAAGTATAGAAACAAGCTAATCAGTCACCCAAATTCATTAGCAAACTCATTGATAACGGAGAACTATCCAAGAAGATTGAAAAGAAAAGCGCCACTGGATTTAAGCCATCAACTCTCCTGATAAAAAATGGAAATAACTTAATATAATATTGTAAATTTTATATCGAATGGGAAAACAACTACTGAGTTGTTTTTCCAACATGCCCTTTTAGTATACAATGTTCCTTTTTGGCCGACTATTGTAAATTCATCAAATTTATTAAATGTCCTTAACTGGACAGTTGTAAATAGAAGAGATAATAATAAAAAATAAAAGAAAGTGTTAAACAACATTTGAAAATATAAAAATGTAATGAATGCTATAAATTAAAGTGAATTAAATGTAATCAATGCTACAAATTAAAGTGAATTTTTTTGTTCATTTTATAGTTATCTCAATCATCACAATCATTTCTATTCAATATTGAGTTCACAAGAAAAATTGAGAAATCAATGTTTGATAAAAAAAGAAATAAAAATGTAACAATAATAATTCACAGTATCTATAATAATCATTCAATATTATCATATGAAATTATTAGATATTGAAATATTTGCACTCACACCGTAAAACTGTAGTTATGATTTTACTAATTCCAATACTTCAGAGCTAATTCGTCATAGCATTAGTTAATATTAAAAACTCTATTAATTTAAGGTAAAATCTAATCTATTTGATGTAAAATTTTAATCTCAAGTTAAAATTCGTATCTGCATTCGAGCTTTCAACGAATCCAAATCTTATAATCGTCACAAACAAAATGGATTTGTTAGATTGGAACATAGGTTAAGAAATCCCACTGTCCGGTAGTCTTCGACGGAAGAAGAATTTAATGAGCCATAAATATATTTCAAAACAAATGTCAATATTAGGAAATTGATCATCGAAAGTCGAGATGTGTCGATTTCTTAGGTACTTAAAGTCCATCTGTGTGGTTCGATGAATCAAAGATTACGGGTTAATTTTGAAATCTAAATTGGTATGGCCAGCAATGTCAAGAGACGCAATAAAGGTCAGTGTAAACTATTATTTGATATAAATAAATAATAATGGGTAGTGCTGCCCCAGGGCAGGTCCCTGAGTTGAGTTAAACACCAACTCGATTCAGGGAAGAATAGTGTGAGAGATTTCACACCACAGTGCCAGAGATGGGCTTATTTTCAATTGGAAACATATTTTTGACCTGTATTTTCAATTAAAAATGGACATCGCGCTTGATATAAATACTACGGGTTATTAAGCTGATGAATATCTTCTAAAAAGCTTTAAAAGCTGTTAAACACTGTTGGATTTGTGAATAATAACACTGTTACCTTAGTGTGATTTTATTTATCTTATATCTCAATATTTCAAACGTAGAGCAACTTGGCATCAACATTTTCCGATTTCCAAATTTTTTTTTCTAAGTTTGCAAACCAGTTTAGATATTATGCTTGTAAATATACATGTTCTTTATGCGATGAAATTTCTGGTTTTAACATTTGATTTAAAAGACTGCTACTGAAATTAATTGGACCATATCCATACGTCAGGCATGTTATTATATTATATCAGATATTGAAATATATAATAATTACGCGACTCAAGTTCATAGTTGGATACAAAATATTCTCTATTAGAAGAAAGGTATTAATTTATAAAAAAACATAATATAAAGTAATACTAAAACAATCGATGGTCATAATCAATTGCAAATAATATAACCAAATGAAGTCAATTTTAAAACTCTAGAAAACGATTTACCTAATACGTAATGAACGTTTTCCAAGTAATTTTAGTCCAGTCATTATAGTAAGTTCACCTCGAAATTCGAGATACCCAGCTGTAAGTCTGTAAATACTTGTATTTTGCACCCTAAAAATTGTCTCAAAACCTACAGTACACCCTACTATATGTAGGTTCTGAGACAACTTTTAGGGAGCAAAATACAAGTATTTACAAACTTACAGCTGGTTATCTCGAATTCCAAGATTCTTACCTAATTTAAGCTTAATTGACTGGAACATTAGTAATTAGTCAACTTTGAACGTAATTATCTAGAAGAAAGATTTTGAATAATTTCTTTTACACTTTAAGGATTTAGTTTTTAGACCTTTCTATGGAGTATTTTAATAATTAACGTTTTCAGGGTAAAATAGAATATATATATATAAATATAAATATATATATATATATATATATATATATAAATTAATTATGTATAAATTCATTATGAACATACATGGCCATAATCGACCATTTGACCTAAATTAAAAAATTACATATAACAAAAGCGTACTAAAAGAGTTATGTAACACTATATATGCATTTTTGATATTTCGATTTCTAATGGCTACACTTCATTTGATAATCATATTTTTGATCTTATCAAGTCTTTTGATTTATCGACAAAGAAGACGTCTTCTTTCCTTTAAATGCATAAATGCAATGTTGCTCGATTTCGCACGTTGGCTCATAAAATTAGATAATCAGCATCTTTCGATTATGAATAAATTTATTATTCGTTTATTGATCTGAATATAAGATCTGGCACAACGAACTCAGTGTTGTTACGTTGCAAAGCCGATAGAAGACATATTTGTCATTTTCAAAGATTGCGCAATTATAGATTTCGGTCATATTCAAATTTTTGACCAAGATATTTCAAAATAGACCGATGCCACTGATCTAGTACATATATAATCCGATTATGTATTTATTAGCATTTCAATAATCAAGAATTGGAATCATCCGAAAATGAAAAGAAAATCTATTTGGTTTAGGTTTGCAGTTTTTGAAAATATCTATAAAATATGGCTCAGATAGTCAGATAAAACATAATCATTTCTAAAAAAAATATGTCGTAAAAAATCATTATATTTTATATTTATATTTTTATATAATTATTATATTCGTATTTTTCACTCATAAATATAATTATTTTATAATTATTTAGAAATAAGACACCTTTTGTAGTAACATTTTTATCAATTGAAAAAATAATTTTGTGAAAGCTCCAAACTCGTATTTTACCCGAAATATTAACAAAATGCTTTTATAATAAAATAATCTCATTTATGAAATAGTAAGTATATTAACTTCATATATTATCAATACGCTTTTGTTTTTAAATTTTAACATCTAAGTTGTGTACTTTTTGTTAAAATAAAAATATTATTACTCTCAAAATCAAGATATCATTATTAACTTCCCGTAGGGTTATTGTAATCGTCCAAAAATTGAAATTGAAAAATTTTGCATATCTTCACGTTTTGAAGGTTTCTGAGCATTTTCGCATATCTAAGAAAAAATGAATGTGTGTGTGTATGTATGGTTACAATTATTCGTCCACGGGCGCACGGATCAACTGATTTGAATAGTTCAAAATACATTCGATTCCTGTTGATAGGGAGATGTGGTGATTAGTTTTTGGCAAAGGCAGATCGATCCGTTTCGGAGATATGGAGCAAAGAGTGCAGAAAATAAACAGTTTCTGAAAGAACGAAGCATCCGATTTGAATGATCCGAAAACCATTCAATTTGTAATGATAGGGAGAAGTGGTGGTTAGATTTTGGCAAAGGCTGGTCAAGCCATTTCGGAGTTACGGAGTTTTTGAGAAAACTAAGCATCCGATTTGAATGATTCAGATAGTTTTTTTTTTTCAAATAATTTTATTCTCAAATATATTATGGTACGGGAAGTTCGAGCAATTTGCATTTAGGCACAATGCCTAACACCACTAGTTTATCTTCAGTTTGAAAACAGTCCTAATAAAATATTGATGTAAAAAATATTATATTATAATATAATATTTATTATATTATAAGACTGTAGTATACTACAGTCTTTTGATATCGTACATATAAAATAAGGGTCAATTTTTGAATATACATCATTTTACTGGAGTTTTAAGATTTGTGATTTTATTTATTATTATTCCGCATTTTCACTTAATCCATTTAAATATTCCATATGATTAAGAAATAAAATTATATAATTTTAATTAATATTAAGACATTTTTATATATTTTAACTTTAATATTATGTAATAATTAACATTTTTTATAGTTATGATGATTAATATATCAATAATATAATTAACCCAAATTAAGAATTGAGCTTATAAGATTTTTATATTGTGTAATTATTATATAATAATTAAATTATATATTTAATATGCGTTTTACTGCATTATCGGAACGCTTTGACCGCAGTCTTTTGAAATCAATTTGAATGAACAAGTTAAATCTATAACGGTAGATGTCCGCATGATTTTAAACTAAAAACCTAGTCGTCAAGTCGAATCAAGCGATACGAATCAATACGAATCATTCGAATCAATCGCTTCAACCACATTCGAACCAGATTTTAGTTGACTTAAATCGAGACAGAAATCCATAAATATATATTTTTCATTTTAATAAATTTAAATATGAAATTATCAACTTTAATAAACATGAAAATGAAAAAAATGAATAAAATCATTTTAGCGTCTCGACTTCTGATTCAAATCAAAATGAACCGAATCATCCGATTTATACGACTGAACCGCATCATCTGATTTCAATCGACTAATATGACTTGACCGTATCATCAGACTTCATTCAACTTAACCGAATCAATTAACTTTATTTGATTTAATATGATTCTCATGAGTTAACTTTTGAAATTTCAAAAATGTGTCATGAAGAAATATTTATTAACTTCCCGTAGGGCAAATAGTAATCGCAAAAAATCGAAAATGAAAATTTTTGCATATCCTCACGTTTGGAAGGTTTCTGAACATTTTGGCAAACCTTAGAAAAAATGGATATGTGTGTGTGTGTGTTTGGATACAATTTTCGACCACGATTTCACGAATCAACCGATTTGAATGATTTAAAAATTCGATTACTATCGATGAGAAGACGTGCTGATTCGTTTTTTGTAATGACAGGTCAAGCCGTTTCGAAGATACAGGGCAAAAAGTGCCAAAAACGGTAATTCAGCTCTTGAGAGAACAGAGTACCCGATTTGAATGATTCAAAAAACATTTCACTTGTATTGACGAAGACATAATACATCAAATTATCAGATATTTGATATTTTTTTTTAGAAATGAGTATTAATTTTGTTAGATTCCGCACCAAGATTCTTAATTTTTGAAATTTATTTATACGGTTCAAGCAAATTACAAAGATTTCAGTTTTTTTTTTTCAAAATTCTCAAAAATATATAGTTTTATACTTCAAATATAAGTTTTAAATTTATCCAAAAAATATATCCTCAGAAGGATTTATTTGGCACCTCTTGCTAATGCAAACTTTCTCAAGTGTTTTGAGCGATAAGATCGTAACTGTATATTTTATGAGCAATAAAATATATAGTGAATATAATTATCTATTTGAAAATGTTTAAAACAATTGTTGTTAATCATTGATCAATATTTATTGATTACTTTTTTTTTTCTCGAATATTTAATTCTGGTACGAAAAGTCCAGCAATTTGCCCTAAGACACGATGCCATGCACCACTAGTTTTATATTATGATAAAATTTTTTGCACTGCTAATTTACTGATGTATCAGAGCATATAGATCTTTTGTAGGTTACAAATTATATTTGAAACTCTTTTAAAGTACAATGATAAAGTTGATAAAAATGACAAAGATAAAACTTTATTTGTTACAATTTTCCAACCAAATAAGTATTTTAAATATTATGTTGCATCATTTAATATTCTACAAATATTTTTGTACAGTATGATCAAATATTGTAGAAACAATAATAATTATTATGAGAAATGCACTTAGTGTCTATCACAAATAAATACAATACGTGATATTATTGTAAATACTTATAATATTAATATTTTAATCAAATGAATCCAAGTTTCAGTGTGGGGAATCAAAGTTGCTATATTTCCATATAAAATACTACTTTCACATTAATTTATTAATAAAAAAAATATTTTCAAATAAAAAAGATAGAATGCGGATTGGAAGTACTTTTCACATGTGATTTAAAGTACAATAATGTGAGGTAAACTGTAAAACAGTACAAAATTTGTATTTGTCTAGTATACACTTAAATGTAATTGTCAAGACGAATATTCAAATATTAGCTAACAAATTTGAGTGGTTTCAAAAAACTTCAGAATTTAATCTCTTCGCCTTCTTTTACTATCATCATTGTGCTCATCAGGCTTTTGTGCCTTGGGGGCTCTCTTGGCCTGGTTCAAGAACTGATCCAAACCGAATGGATCCTCTTCTCTTTCAAATTGCACTGGTCCACTTCTTGGTGCTGATGGACCTGATCTGTCCACACCACTAAAATCTTTATCTGGGACAAATCTGAAAAATAAAAATAAAAACATAATATCTGTTATAACTATTAAAAATCAATTCATTTGATTTAGCATTTAAAAAATATGCAACAAGAATTGAATTTAATCTTTGTGTATAACAATTTTCATACCTATTTGTGTTAACAATTTTTTCAAGATCTCCACCATAATTGTCTTGATCAATGTTTTTGCTGGGTCGATATATGTGAGAACCAATAGAGTTTGCATCCCTCCATGGTTTATCATATACATTGTATTGCTCATCATCTCCATAACCTATAAATTAAATTACAAATAAATTATTTGTATTCAATTCTATACTTTATATAATATAAAGATGATTTATACAGACCTGAGTCCATTCCCTTTGTAGTATTGAATAATCTTTGATCAAACTGTCCTCCCTCCGCAATAGTTTTTGCAGGAAGACCCAAGGCAATCTAAAATAGAAAAAGAATTTTTCATACTGCTAAGTTGCAAAATAATATAAAAGTTTAATTCAACTATTAATCACAACTTCTGAAATAAAAAAAATACAAACTAAAAAAACCCTCTTGATATTTGTTTCAACTACTATTTCCAAATATCTTTACCTGTTCACTAATATCTCGTTCCCTCTCTCGTTGCAGTTTACCCCTTTTCTCAGCACCAGCTCTGGCCAAATTTCTTTCTCTAGCTCTCTCTCTGTGCCTTTCAGCTCTTAATTCATCTCGTTCTTTCATTTCACTTGGAATGACTGTTTCACCAGCAGGATCAATTTGCCTGATACCAGCTCTTTCTTCACGAGCTCTTTGAGCAAGTTGACGTAAACTATCTTCTTTCTTTTCTTTTTCTTTTTGAGCTAATTTCTTCTCAAGTTGAGCTCTCATTTCGACAGCTTCACGGGCTTTTCTAAATAAGAAATAGATATTTAGGGAACATAAAAGTATTTACATATTCTTACAAATAATGTAAATGGCAATTTGCAAAACATCTTACCTATCAGCAATATATAAAGCTTCTGCTAATTTAGCAAAATTTTCGTTGATATGAACTTGCTGTAAGCCTCTGCCATCAGCAGCCAAACGCTTATCCAAGGGTATTGTGTAACCTGAAATTATTAGTAGAAATTATTACTTTACAATAAAATGGTACTTTATAATATTTATATTAGGGTTCATTAATATATTCATAGAACTACTTCATCAAATTTCAGATTATATAAATTATTTCCAAGATTCTTATATCTTCAACAATGTTTAGCAAAATATATATAATTACCACAATAAAAATTATATTAAAAAGTTTACTTGCCTTTCATATTAATTGATAAACAAAAATATTATTACCTTTGGCGTTCTTCCAATTAGATATACAGGGAGGAACTTTCCATTCACGTTGTTCTTTAACTGATACTTTCCTTGAAGGACTGTGCAATACAGGTGCAGGTGGAGATGGAGCACCTCTTGGAATCTTTTTATTTATTTTGAACCGAGGGGGTTCCATTGGATCAACTTGAGCCTCAACCATTCTGTTTTATTAAAAGTATTATATGTTAGAATAAATTACACAGAAAACTTCAATATAAAACAACTGACCTTATAACACGTTGTTTTGCTCCAGAATTAAACTGATCGCCTTGCTGCGAAGGTGTGTATCTTATATATTGTGCTGGTGCTTGTTTATCAGCAGCACGTACTGGCATAGCAGCTTGAATTTTAGCACTAGTGATTTTTTCTAGTGCCAATCGTGTTTTTTCCATATTTTCCTTAATAGTTTCTTCATCTGGCTTTTGTAATTCTGGTGCATCATCATTAAGTACTTCTGCAGGTAATAAAGCACTTAAACTCGAATACACAATCTGAAAATAGTAATTCATTTTTTCACTAAACATAGGCTATGAAAATAACTCTCCTCAGCTCTTCACAGTATGGTGATACTTTGTTTAATTAGCAAAATTTATTTCAGAGCAAAATAACACTTTAAATTTATTAAAGCGAAACAACATATTCACACAACTTTGTGTAATTGTTTTTGCCTCTGTCAGCAATTTACTTTGCTACATAAATTTATACATAATTGATATAAAGTAATATTACTTTACAATTTGTTTTGCTTCTTAAATTTGTATATCAACACAATGCCTATAGTTTCTTGTAATAAAACTTTAGCATTAATATATTATTATATACATACTTTATCCTTAGAATGCCCTTGTCTAGCAATTGCATCATATTTAATCTTCCCCGATTGATCAAGTTGCACTGCCAATGCATTCGAAGTACCTTTGTTACTATTAGGCGCTCCCATACCTAATGGGTATTGTGCCACCATAATTTCTGGAAAAGCTCCGCCATCTGCAACATATTTTTACCATATATAACATACAGTTTTCATAGTATATCAAATTAGGCTATTAAAATGACCTCCAAAATCTTGTTCTTGTCGTGGAACCCAACCTCTCCTTTGTCCATAAGGAGGCGCAGCAATTCTTGCTGAAACAAGGGCACCCACGGGTGGTGCTTGTATGCGTCTTTGTTCATCTCGATCCCAAGCGGGTCTCGAAGGAGCTGGTAAAATACTGAAATAATCAATTGTAAATCAGCCATTGTTGTTAAATTATTTTGTCGAAGTTAATAAGCCACTTGTAAATTATTGCACAAACCTTGATAAAGACATTTTTATCTTAGTGACAAATACACAGTTACAACTAGCATTCACTTAATAATATTTTGTTTATTTCCATATGCATTAATTATATTTAGTTATGTCTGGCATTGGCACTAAAGTATGACGGATGTTAAATTGCTAACTTCACTCACCATCACCTTGGCCATGGGTACCAACATTACCAACGTCAAAACAACAATGGATGGTAATGATATGACATTTGAGCGTTGGATACAAACATAGTTTTAGTTTTTAGTGATGGTTTTAATTGTTATTCGACAATGTTACAAGCATTCGTGTGTTTACTGACGTTTATCTTTGTTAATTTGAAATTATATTCAACTGCCAAATTGTGTTATTGTGGTGATACATTGAAAACGAACAATTCATAGAAAATTGTAACCTTAAAATTGTGCATGTTGAAATGTACAATAAAATAATATTCAAATCAGTGTTAGACAGAAAAATACTTTTGTGTTTACTTAGTTATATAACTAAAACATGATTTGGCGTAAAAGATATAAAATGGCTTTGAACTGGACATTAATTCGAAAATTTGATCAAATATTGTAGCAGAATCCATTCGAAGGTAAGAAAAAATTTATTTCTGTTTGTTAAATATTTGATTTATTGCCACCACGTATGATATGAGTCTGAAGAAAACTAATTTAATAGATTTAATACAATATTCAATCATATAATAAATGATTTTATTTTATGATTTACAATACTACAATATGGTATGCGTTGTGCATATGTATACGCAGGGCAGGTCCTTGGGTCTTCAGCGTCCGAATGTCATTTTTTTTCTGGCGCCCCCCTCCCGAATTATTTTAACTGTTTTAACAGTTTATCAATAAAAATGACATTTTTGTTAATTTTTGCAAATACTTTTTAATATATCTGGATTTAGTATCCAAAAAATTAGATACAATCTAAAAGCGCATAAATTACATTGATTTCAAATTTATTCAGAAGATCGATGAGACTTGTGGGCGCTCTCATAATCAAATTGTTGTGTCTTCTTTCGAACTATTTCTTACGGAACTATTTTTAATTTTTTATTTACAACCCGATTTTTTTTAACACATCTTAAAATTTCAGCATGTTTATTACTTCTTGCAAAAATATTTTTAAATTTTAATTTATTTACAACGCATGTGTAATATTAATATTTAAGTTTTGAAACAATTTATTTATTTATTTTGAGAATTTTATGCAATTTATTCTTTTGAGCAAATCATAGAGAGCAAATTCTAGCCTTTCATTATTGAACATAACACTCCTACTTCATATTGGATTATTTTAATTTAATTTTTGATTATATAAAATCCAAAATTGCATCGAACACTTCTCTCATTGATATCGAAAAGGTCGAATTGTATGTATTCATCTTTATTTTCCCATCGTGTCAGATTGTTATTTTAAAGTTAAATTTTTAACGTAATCTAAAAAATTGACCAAAGATTAGTAGAACATGCAATGAAATTATATATTTCTCGAATGATATTGAAAAAAAAATTATATTATAAATTTCATATCTGAACCTCCTGTTGGCGTCCTCTAAGGGGTGCGACCGCGCTTTTCGCATTCATCGCATTATAGGTAGGACCGGCTCTGTGTATACACATGTGAATTGAGTGTACTTGTGTTTATAATTGCGATTCTATACAAGTATATGCACATTATAATTTTTTTAGTTACACTAATTTGGTAACTTTTGGAAACCACTCGGTTTTTCCTTTGAAAAGCCACTGTCAATTAACAAACTAATTACTCAATGTCTATCCATTGATAGATTGTCCATTCATTGGTCTTCTCAATATGTAATCGTTAGTATTATGGTCTTATTAATTATGTACTTATTAATTAATTACGTATTTGAAAATGATTTGTAACACTTACGGGACGGCACCGATTTCAAAACAATCTACTGAACCGGCTGTAAACTTGATTTCATTGTGCATGTTATGCAATTTGTTTGATAAAAATTTGTGGCCATTGAAGGACATACATTTATAACATTAATTTATTTTTGATCATTATGTAAAGTTGACGTTCAAAACAATTTCCAAAATGCTTAGCTGGTTGAATTTTACATGTTTTACAATAAAATGTTGTTTGCCGCCTTCCTCCTGGTGCTTTTCTGTCAGAACAGACAATACAATCCCTTTTTCTTTCTCTCGCATTTAGAATATGCCACTGATTAGTCAGTATATTTGTTCATTTTTTTGTTGCCATAATAGTTTGTTTTTCTATTATATTGTCTAATAATTCATTTGTAAAATATAAAGTAAGTATAATAATCTATTGGATGTCTTATATTGCTTGGTATTTGTAGTCGGGGTGTTTGTTGATGTATGTCAAACTTAATTATTGAAGGAGAATCGGCACATTCGCTAATATCTTTCCACTCTTCCTTTACTGTGTCGAACTTCTTCTTCTTTTTGTTGGTAGGATAATATCATCATCACATTCATCACTATCTTAGGTGTCAATGGAAATTTCGTAAAATTCGTCTGTATAAATGTCCATTTGAAACTCATCATCACTACTGCTTAATTCACAAAATTTACTAGTCGTTTTGCCATATTTAAAAGCGCTCGGTAGTTTTTAATATTTAAAAAAAGCCTATATAACAAAGAATAAGGCTAAAAATACTACTAAAATAACTTAAAATTATTGTTAAAATGAAACACTGTTTATCATTGCTATATGTAATTTATTCAACGTTTTGATGCAAACTGAGTCATTGTTTATAAAATAGCCTGTGTCTCACAGCGTATGTTTGTCCAGCAGTCCCCAAAGAGTTAAGTAAAAAAAACATCACTAGTTGAACAAGATTTGGCTTTCTTTACGAAGTTAAGAAGAATCATTACTACAAAAGATGATAGAACTCTTAAATTCTGATTACTGTTTAATAAAAAAAACTGATCAAGAGTAAGCCGAGTTCTACATTTTGTTAAAACGGCAAACTAATTTTAAAAAGCCAGATTTTATAAAGATTTTATTCAATTATTTATCGTGCCATAACATATGATATTATAACAATTGTTATAGTCATTTAAGGGAGTTGTTCTTTTTTTATATTTTTTTGTTTCGGTTTTGAGATTTTTTGATATTATGAAAGCTAAAAACCTTAGAATTATTTAAAAAAAATCATTTCAATATCTTTTTTTTTGAAGAAGTTATATATATATATATATATATATATATATATATATATCTATACGTATGATCCTCTGAAAGCGTTTTTTTATCGTTCCGCGAGCTATTGTATGCCAGCTGCCTCTTTTTCATTATAATACCTCATGCAGATGACCTTTTTAATGTGTCAGCACCTTTGAACACCATGGTGTATTTCGTACATTAAATTAAATGGTGTATTTAGTACATTATATTAAAAACTTTAAACACGTTTATCTCAAATTGACCTTTTTTAATGCGGTGCCACAAATTAAATGATTTTGTAATTTTTGTTTAAAAAAAACCGCATATCTTTATGATAAATACATTTCGAGAAAAACAAAAACAAATACCTTGCATGTTTTGTAACAAAAAAAAGAACAACCCCCTTAAATGACTTAAAGGTTATATGTACAAACAGCTTTAATGCAATTTTCTAGTTTTCGAGAAATTTTCAAATTTTTCTTTACTAATTTTACGTTTTCTCGACGTTTCAAGTCATTCTGAATGCAATGAGACAAAATTTGAAGGTGTGTGCACACTATCGTCGATTTATTGTCGACATTTTTCAAAAAAGGCTGGATCGATTCAAAAATGTACGTATCTTCATTAAAAGATATTGGATGAAGGTTGATAGGGACTAGCGTGTCAGTTTCGTGCGTCGATCAGGCGAGCTCTTTATATTAGCAGTAAAGCCCTCAATTATTAATCAATTTAGTTTCAAGTATTCAAAAACTATTTGAAAGGTATTTACTGTGCATCGCGTTGATTAGTGTTTGGTGAAGATTGGCCGGGCCGTTTTTTCGCATTTAAATGTTGAATTTTTTTTGATAATTTTGATAAAACTTTGCATGACGATTGATATCCTAGTGTTAAAAAACACCCTGAAATACGACCTACGATAAGCGGTTAAATTATAAAATTTCACCAAAGTTTGGAATTGCGCCCCGCGTGATTCCAATCAGAATCTATGCCTTTCGTTTGTACACAATATGTTTCATGTTTCGAATGTTGTCGCCGATTACAGTTAATGTCCACATTAAAATAAAATACAATCTTAGAACCCGAAACGAATGAAATGAAATGTGTTTAAAATTTAATTTTATATACAGTAAATAATTTAATTACATGTATGTTCGAAAGATATCAATTGGAAATCGCATTGATTCATTTTTAGTAGTAGCGAAAATTTTATTTTTGGAATAGTTGAATATTTCACTTAAATATCTGAATCTCATTTCTTATTGTATGCATACGTATTATGGCGAATCAATGCATATCTCGCCTTAAGGCAAAATGCTACTTTCACCTAGGTCGTTTTAATGATAGAAAAGGGCTAATAAATAACAGCTATATGCAGCCGTTTTATTTGTTATAGATACGATTTTAGTATCGAATAGGCTATTTTTTCGTAATGAATTATTGAAAAAATTTTTTTTAACGATTTTGTAGAAACTTTGTATGTCGATTGATTTCACAGTTTGAAATAACGTACTAAAATATTATAGGCCTACGATAAGCGTTTGAAACGATTTGAAATTCATCAAAGTTTAGAATTTCGCCGCGCGTTTGAGCGATTCTAATTGGAATTCGCGCCGAAGCGTATGCACGTTCTCCAGTCTTTCGTAGATACATACATAGTACATTCTGATTACAGTTGACGTCCACACTTACATATAAAATACATTTTTAGAACACGAAATGGATATGAAATGAAATGTGTTAAATAATTTGATGTATACAATTACAGATATTTTAAGCATATTTGAAATTTTTTAGTGACAGCTAAAATGTTTGTTTCGGAATTACCAATTGAATATTTTATCTAACTAGAATTCAATTTTATTGATTAAGTTGATTATGGATTTGCATCGCAAAGTTCGTGCAACTTGCCTTAATGTAAAATTCTATCTACAACTAGTTAAGTTCAAGTTTAGTCAT